TAAGAAGCTGCATCTCGTGATTTAAAATTTGGGCCTCTACTTTTCCCCAGCTGAGAACAAAAGAACAGGTTGAGATGTTTCAGACCAGAAAGTGGTGCTCTTTTCCACTTCCCCCCCCAGGGAAGAAGTAGTATTAAAACAGGTTTTGCTCTACTTTTAGACTACATCTTGAAGAAGAGGTAACTGAAACGCTCCCTGAAAAATAGTTTAAATGCAACCAGGGCAGTGCCGAGGCGCTTACATCAACTACATGAGGACTGTTGTTTCCAAAACAGGCAGCTAGCTACAAAGAAAGTCATCAAGTTTTAGTGAGTTATTGAAAAGGAAAATAGTTAAAAGTTTGCTTGTCTCTGCCTAAGGTAGCATGCTCCAACATGCAGCCCTCCTTTGGTTCTACCTGCCTTTACAGCTGTGCCCTTGGAGAAACCCTACACCGGGCAGAGCCTCACTCACCCCCACTCAGTTTTGGATGCAAAGGTAGCTGGGTAAACATGCTATAGATGTATATAAAGGCATATATAGGTACACAAATGAAACTACAGAAAACAGTGATAACGCTTCTAGAGCTACAACCCATTAAATCACCAAAATAAAAACACTGAAGTTAAATATTTACTCCAACAGAAATGTAACCCTTTATTGCACTTTGAACATATACATGACAGTTATTTCCCACAATTACTGATTATTTCAACACTGACGCTACACCTGCCAAGTATAATGTTGCTTGAAGAGGCAACACTTCAGGCACGGATCCTGCAGTTCAAGTTAGAGCTAAAAGTATTTACAAAATTATACTTTCTTGCATAATATTAGTTACTGTAAGTTTAAAAAGAACATTGTTTATGCAATACAAAAATCAGAGGGTTGCATTTTTTTAAACATTAATATTTTGACAATGATTTTCCATATATGTATGATTTGACATTTCCAATGTTTTTGCATTTTAATTTAATTTTTCTTTTATCCAACTAGCCATTCCCTTAAGTAAAAACCAGTAAAGCTTGAGCTTTAAAATGCTTTACCATATAACACAGAATCAAGATAAACTTTATAAGCATATTTTGTAGCCTCCAGAGTTGGATTTCCTCCCATTTGAATGAGAATTTTTTGATACTATTTTCAAAATGCACGTGCAGAATGTGAGTGTGAATTAGACTAATACTCTGCTCCACATTTTAAATTACCTGTCAAAATCCTCAAGTCTTCCAATCCCAAGATTGAACATCTTAATGAGAAAAGTCAAAGCTGCAGCGCACGATGATTTAGACCTTAAATATAAACTGATAATAATTTCTTCTCCTTTTAACTTTATTTCACTCATAAACCAGTTAAAAATGCTAACAGCTTTTTCCAGTAACCATCCTTTGTATGGGTGAAAACAAGTCAGAAATTTTATCCCTTTGTTTTTCAAACACAGATCTAAAATACTTGAGGGTTTGTTTTTAAATTGTATGTGCTTAATAAAGAGACCATACTAAAACTACCGATACCAATCTATTATTGTTTACTAGAAAGTGACCACTGGAGAAAATAAATAGCTTATTTGATGTACTAATTCCAGATGGAAGCTTAGGGTTTGATGTAGAAACTGTGGGGTGAAGTTCTTTGGCCAAACACAGTCAAAGAAGACTGCAATAGTTCCCTTGTGGCCCTGACAAATCTTATAAAAAAAGATGTAACTTCTATAAAAATATATTTAATACACAACAGCTAATGTATATGCAATTATTCTCCTTGTGTTACAGAAATACTGAAAGTAAGCAACTCCCCTAATTTCCAGATGTGCCTCAGGTTACAGTTTATGCAAAATGAAAAGTTACCCAATAATATTGCACTTCAGTGACCTGCTATACCAATTAAAAACCTGACGGTCATTATAGCTACAGAAATTGCTCCTACAGTTTCCAAAGAGAGACCTTTCTGTGTTTTGATGGATTGGAAGTCAGCTTATTCAATGGAATTTTAATGAAAGTTAATTTAAGATTGGTCTGTATAAATAAATGCTGAAAATGAGCAGAAGAGAGGAAGTTCCTCTCCATAGTAGCATTTAGGAGTACAACTTGAAAATATCAAGGATTATATTACAACATCTAGATAGAGCTGATCAAACTTACAAGAAAGGAAAGACAACTTGTCCTGAATGTGTACACATCAGTTTTAGAAAACAGGAACAAGTTCTGTGCAAGAAAAATCTTTTCAAGCAATATTAAGACTAGAGGTTTTTACAAATTCCATGTTTTGATATAGCATTGTACAGCAGATAGTTTTAAAGTTAACATTTCTTACAGCTGACAAATAGGTTAGTTCTACCTTTAGAATTCAAAACTAATAAGCAGTAAAAGGTGTGAACCCTATTTTTATCTCAGATACTTTTGAAGCCTTATATTCACATTACCTTATTATTTCTTTCTCCATTGAAAGTTTTAAAATGCAGTTTATTTAGTTCCAAGTTTTAAACCATTTCCCTTGCCACTGCAGGTACCAAAAGTCCAAGAATTGTCTTTTAAAATTATCCACACTCTGCTTGCTACTTCTGTAAGTTCTGTACTACCCATACAGAAAAATAACAATATTGCAGAAGACATTTATCTCTAACCAGGCAAGAAAAAGAAATACTGTGCTGAGAACACCACGAATTTTTAAAGTATAATAATCTATCTGCAGGAGACTCATTGCTATATTTTAAAAATATGAGCATACAACACGAAGCCTTATTATACAAATAAATTTGCAACAAACTACCTTCCTTATAATGGTAACAGACCATTCTGACAGTAAAGAATATAAAGAAGTTATTGGCAGTATGACATTCAAAAACTATGCAAAGATGACAAACTTAGAGTATTATTGGAGAAAAAAAAATAAGAGAATGAGAAAATGCTTAGTATACAAACAAGTCAAATGACATTCTCCAAGAGCTCATACATTTATATTAAAGGGGACTTTAATATGCTTTTGGCTCAGAACAAGAAAAACACCACTAGCTGTGGTTTAATTTCAAATGTTCTTACATTTCTAATGACAGGATTTTGATGAGGTTAGATTGTTTCAGCTATTTGAAAGTGGTGAGAAATGCCTGCCTGACTTAAGCCTTGCAAAAAAAAAAAAGATAAAAAAAAAATCTAAAAAACAGTGGCATGCACACTTTTTTTACCCAGTGATGGAAGTAGGTCTGTATAAAAAGATTAGCACCTCTCCCATATATATCTATCTGTATAAATTTATAGCACAACCTACGTTTGAGACATAGTATAGGTGGTCAAACTGACAGGGAGGAAAAATACTAGTTTCAAGAGAGAGAGATCTGCATACCTTTAAAAAAACTGTACTTAAATGTCCTTTTGTTTCGTAGTTTTAGTATTAGTAACATTAAAGTGTTACTGTGTAGGAATTTCACTACTTATCTTTTATGGCTTAATGGTATTTATACAGGAAGAGTTTAGACTACAAGCTAGAAAAGTGTCAGGCATTAACAAGCGTGATGGTAGACTGCCTTTAGTTTAAGAAATAGTTTTAGTGCATATTCCTACGAAAATACTGACTTCCACAGAAGATGAAGTAACACATTCTAATGAGCAACAATTTCTTACACTTTCATACTCAACAACACAAAGTCTAACTCTTATACTTCATTTTGAAAGACCACATATTGTTGCATATTAAAGATTTACTGCGTTTTTACTGTTTTGGCTATATGTATAATTAAAAACTAATGTATAACAGTAGAATGCAGAAATGCACGCAAATGTCAAAGATTTTGTTTAACAACAGAAACTCAAATTCAACTAGATTTTGTTCTTGTGCCTTATCATTTTGCCTAGGTTTTCTCCAGGCCTTAATTCTATTTTAATGCACTAACCACAATGACCTTAAAACTCCAGGTTTCTTAACTTTCATAGGTTTGTATGAATCAAAACATAAATGAACAATCAATATAAAAACAATTACTGAAAAAATATACATGGAACAACTAAAGAACTTCATCACAGTTTTACTTGAGACAAAGCTCTAGAGCAGTTATCTTCAAGATGTACCTGATTTCACTCTGATAAATAAGTTACTGAAGTATGTAATACAATCAACATACTTACCTGTGGGATATAGCTAGAATGTTACAGAGTTTGGTAACATTTCATACTTGTCTAAAGCAAAAGTAGACATTTAAACCACTTCTGCAAGAGATTGCTGTCTCTTAAAGCCAACTTCAAACAGGAAGATGATTCAACAGATAGAGTGTACTTTCATTAGAAAACCATCTTCTATCTTACAAGATTACTACTTTTAGCATATCTTTGGGGGAAAAGTGGGAAAAGGCCAAGAACATGCTGTCCAAAAATACAGTAGCGATTTGCAAGCAGACGTTCCTGCAGAAAATTGGTTTCCAACATCCAGTTTAGTAGCAAAAATATTTATTCTCTTTCAACGCTTAGTGTGTTTCTGATTGTGAACTCCATTTTATCTTTAAACTGCTCATATGTGTTTGTTATAGGGAGCTCTAAGCAATTAATGAGTCTGTTTCCAATGGGATACCTTATATGCAAAAATTTAATAGTAGGTTCAGGATCAAAACCAATGGGGGGTATAGAAAAAGAGCCTGTTACGAAGAGCAGAATATCCTCCAATGTCACCACAGACTCACCACCTAAAAAAAAAAAATATATTAGGTTGTATCATTTATTGCCTATTACCCTTAAATCATTATCCCACATGTTAAGTGTTAGAGGAAAAAAACCTCTGACATCAGGAAAGCCCAGATCAATATGCTCAATGAATTTGCAGTTATATGGCCACATAAGAAAAATTTTAGCAAGAAAAACCCAATTGGGCTAGTTCTGAAAAATCATAAGTAAATAGGAAAAAAAACCTCTTCTGCAAGAAGAGACCACTGGTTTCTATTTTTTTTGAGACACAGACTATCTAATAAGAATAAATTCACAGCAAAGCTCAAGAGAGGGGATTAAAGGATTTTTCTGTACCACTCAGGTTGGTGTTTGTTTTGTTTTGGTTTTTTTTTTTTTTTTTTAAAAGAACTCGCAGGAGTTCTAGTACCAATCTTTTCTATATTTATCCCTCTCAAGTTTGATTAGGATTGGGCAACAGTTTCAGAAATTATGATTAGTAAGGAAGAGGGGGAAGAAGGAACAATTAGGACTGACAGTGACCTCAAAATGTTCATTTATTTACCCCACTGAATTCTAAAAACCAAACCCTGTATGTATACCAGCAGCTAAATATCCTGAAGAAGGGAGAAAAGAAAAAAAAAAAATTACTTACTTTCCACATCTTGCAAATAAGCCATCCAAAAATCAGCGCCTTTAACTTTATTCACATCTGATGAGGAATGGATTGTAAAGAGATCACAAATAATTTCTGCTGAAAGTCTTTCAGGTTTGTAGCACAATATGCTAGAGAACACATCTGGATGCATTTGCATTTTCTCTAGCACACCAAGGGTTTTCAAACCTTGCCTAAAACTAGAAGGGGGGAGGGGGAACAAAAAAAAAAACCAACAAAAAAAGTGAAGCATGCATCAGAAAGCCTGTAGGTAACTAATTGTACTCTGCATTTTATAAAGCTGTTAGACTGGACATAATAATTAAATTTCCCCATCTGCAAGTCTTGTCAATAACATATACATAGTAGTCCCATTTTATCTTGGAAAATACATTTCTCATTTTAACAATCTAAGTGTTTCTGTGGAGCTTTTTGGGCAGATGAAAGAAATACCAGTGATATGCAGAAATTAACTTTATTTCCAGGTATTTGACCATATGAGCATGGCTTACTTTTAATTCTTATGTAAGAACATACCGAATTCCTTTCTTACAAATATCCCTTTAGAAAATAGTTTAAATTCCTTGTCCCTAGGCAAAATGAAGTTTCTTAAAAGATAGCCTTTGCTTGGCTTCTGCAGTCTGCATGTGTTTACATGCTATTACTTCTCCCTGTGGCAAACACAGATAACAGTAACCTGGGCTGCATTAGGAAGTGCGGGTCAAGGAAGGTGATCCTTTCCCTCTGCTCAGCAGTGGTAAAGTTATACTTGGGGTGCTGTGTCCGGTTCTGGGCTCCCCAGTACAAGAGAGAGATGGACATACTGGAGAGAGCCCAGGAGAGGGCCACTAGGATGATTAAGGGACTGGAGCATAACCCTAGGAGGAAAGGCTGAGAGAGCCAGGACTGTTCAGCCTGGAGAAGAGAAGGCTCAGGTGGAATTTCAATGTGTAGAAATACCTGAAAGAAGTATGCAAAGAAATCAGAGCCAGGCTCTTTTCAGTGGTGCCCAGTGGCAAGACCAGAGGCAATGGGGACAAACTGAAACACAGGAGGTTTCGTCTGAACATCAGGAACCACTTTTTTTAATGTGAGGGTGACTGAGCACTGGCAGAGGTTGCCCAGAGAGGTTTCCATCCATGGAGATAGTCAAAACTCATCTGGACATGGTTTTGGGCAACTGATTCTAGGTGGCCGGCTTGAGCAAGGGGTGGTGGACAAGATGACTTCCAGAAGTCCCTTCCAACCTACACACCAATCTGATTCTGTGATTTAATGAATTATTTTTTTTTTTTAAAACAGCTCTGCAGGTTGAAAAAGTCTCACTAGTTATTGTGTATTGTATAAGAACATTTCCAGCAACTGCCTTTACAATTTAACTGCCATGTTAAATCAGAATTAAAATTTTACTTAAGTTGTTTACTGATCATTTCTTAGATATCGATAGGCTGAATCAGTAAAATTCAGAATAAGTATGTTGAAAGTGTACACTGAGTGGTGTAGAACATTAACAGCTAAAGTGACTACTTAGTCTCAGTCCTTGATACTGACAAGCAAATTCCTGCTCTACTCACTTTTGCACATTTTAAGCCCATCTCCAAAAATGCACAAACCCACAATTTCCCATAAAAAAAACCAGGCTACTTATTACCTTTCATTTTTTAGCTGACTAGTTTCAAAATATGACCTAGATTGGGCAAATATGCTACAGAGGGCCTTGAATGACAGGCTAATTACTCTAAACTTTGTCAAAAAAATCCTCACATTCAAAATTAGTTTTCATAGCTCAGGGAGTTCAGTTGATGCAAATTTGTCAAAGATAACACCATAAATGTGTTAAGTATAAATCCAACTATACTTGTTGGAAAAATTAGCATCCAATGCCCTTTTACTGAGCAGATGAAGAATGCAAATTGGAAGTAGAGTCAGAGACCAGTCAAAAAAATAGTCAACGGCTGCAACTTTCCTAGCTATTTGAAGTCATCACTACCTCATGGAAACACCAACGCAATGCTTAAATGCTAAGTTGGCCAACTTACACTTGTGCACACTATTGCCCTCCTAATGGCACACACAAACTCCCTCATTAGAACTCTGGAAAACTAATTTAAATTCTAAATGTATGTCTAACACTTCTAAAGTTTAAAGATCCTAAATTTGAGCAATTCTGAATTAAAAATGAACACAAGCTAGAGAAATTTTGTAGTTTACAACTGTGAATCTGCCCTTTTCATAAGATTGAAAAAGGAATGTGATCAAGGAGAAGTGGAACAGATTGGATATGTGGAGAAACAGTTTCAGTCTTTCAGTTTAACTATTTAACCGTTGCTACTTAATCCACGGAAAATTACAGTACATTTAATTGGTTTAAAAGAAGAGTAAGCAAGAGCATATGAAAGTTAGTTTTAGAACATAATAGTATTTCAGTGAGGAAAAAAAATCCAGGAAGTTTGAAAACTCAAACAAAACAAACCTTTCTAAAGGTGAAATAATTCTCTTGATTACGTGATGGATCAGTATGTCATTCACCAGCATATGCTTGTCACACAAAGCTGTTACAGGTCTTAAACATCCAGCAGCAGCAAGGAATTCATAATAGTCATGTATTGTAGACTGTAGGCTGGACAGACTATTTGCATATTTTATCTGTATCAGAAGATAAAAGTTAGGAATTCGTTTACTACATGCGTGTGTATATATAGTTCAAATTAAAAAGCTTATTTTTATAAAATTATATTCAATAAGTCATTCTTTATCTCCAAATATAGTCTTGGAACAAGAATTTGCCAATAACTTGAGTTTTATTTACCATTTTTATTGTTTGTGCTACATCAACATCAGCAACATCTTCTAAAGCTGGCTTCACATTCTCTGGACCATAAACAAGACAGTTGAACAGTGTTTTGGAAAAGAAACCAGGAGATGGGCCACCATGAACGAGAGAAACTGCAATCATTTTACCAGCTTCAAAATAAAGATTCTCTTTTACAGCTGCAAATAAAAAAATATATTTACTATATACACATAAAAATAATTTGAGAGCCTCAATTTTTTTTCTAGAAAAATCTCATAATGCAGTTCCTTTGTACTTTAGGAGATGCAACAAATGAGTGTGTTGTGTTTGGTTTTTTTTTTTTTTTTTTTTTTACATAGGAGTACCATATTCTTACACTCCAACTCTTCAGCCACTATCAAGGTTTGGGAGGAGATGTAACTTCATCTTCCAGTTTGTGCCCAATGCACATTTAAGTTTGAAGCATAACAACTCAAAGAAGCTAACTTTGGGTCTTTAGGTAGCATGCTATCAGAGATAATGTTCCAACTAAACCAAATTTTTTGTTATTACAAATCCACAGCCCACCCCCCCTTTAGAATTGAAAAGCAAAAAATTTCAAAAAAACCAATTTCTATCCATCAGGACTATAATTGTCAACTGACAATTAAAAACCCTTCAAGTTACACAGTTCTTAATGTATTTTTGAACAAAACATTTAATTACCTTGAAAATCAAGGGACAAGTTCTTCGCAGAAGAGCCCTCAAACAATGATGAATTCTGAAGGTGAAGCAGTAATAATTGGAAGAAACGGTGTTTTGATGCAGCAGGAGTATCTGTCTTTGATCTATTTTTGCAGTTTGTGAACTTTATTTCAATGGTGTTTGTAGGACTGAAGTTGCGCTGTCTAAAGCCTTTTAAAGCACTATTCCAGATATTTCCTGCATTGATGTTAAGCCTTGTAGTTTTTGTATTAACTTGTAGCTTTAAATCCTTCAGTATATTAGAAACTTCCCTTCTGTGCTTTCTTAAATACCTAAAAGAAAATTGCATGTATTTTCAGATGAAATCTATGATTCATAATTAGCCACAGTTATACAGGAAACATTCTAAAAATCTGTTAAGAAAACCATCTCTTTAAACACTTTGGTACATTTAGGTATTGCCTAAATTATATCAGTAAAATATTTGGTGAAGATTCTTCAAATTTTACCTCTGCAGTGGCAAATTTTAAAGTACCTCTAAGAACTAAAAAAGGAGGTAGAAATAATTACCTTGGCATAAAATGAATAGTTATTTTCTTGATTCAGTTACACCAGCATAGTGCCAAACAATTCTCACACCATCATTCTACATTTGAACAATGTGAAACAACTGAGAAATTGAAGAGCTTACCATGTTTGTGTGAGAGATGTTTTACAACCAAATTGGAATACATTGTCAAATATTCACTAATATTTAATCTCTGTCACTATAATCAAAAATACATTTGAGTAGGGAGAAGTGGTGCAGTTCTCATTTAAAAAAATAAGATATCAGTTTAAATATGATCCTTTCTTTGGTCTCTAACTTTTAACCAATTCAACTATTTCAAACACCCTACCTACTAGAAGTAACTAATTCCCTCATCAGAAATTTTAGCACATATTACACGTGGAATTCATAAACTAAGTACTCATAAGACAAACAATTTTGTATCCTAAAACTGAATATTCTATATTAAAACATGTTATTTTACCACTGATTTTAGCATAATCATAAACTGCACTATTTGCACGGCACAAATGCAAAAACACTGAAAATTCAGGACTTGTCTAATTTGAAGAAAGCAATTAGGATTCTTTTTATTCCTCCTTTTCTAAATGATGGCTAACCAGGCTTCGGTAAGGACAAATATGCATTTCTGGGTTTTGATCCCCTCACTACCTAACCTAAAAATTCTTAATAGGTATCATTCTTTTCTCCTCACCCCACTCTAGCATTTAGAAACAACAGAAGCCTTCATCAAGTTATAACTTCAGCTCTTCAGTGTACTCATTCCAATTTTCCAGTGACTATATTTACACACACAAATATATATATGTAGCCACTACATATATAGAATCATAGAATCATTATGGT